TGTGTGTGTGTGCGTGTGTGTGTTTGTGTTGAAACACGAAACTAATGTGCCAGCGTCTGGATAATAAAGGTTTTTTTAGTTTAGTAAAATGCTTTACAGCGCCCGAAACTGCATCATGTGAGCGCATGAAACACACGTTGGTTGCATTCACAACAGTTCAGAACACGGTTTGGCTTTGGTCAATGATCAGATTAAATGGTTGTAAATTTAGCTGAAAATTGTAACCGTAAAAACATCAGCCATTTTCTTTTTTAAAATAACGACATTTACATTTTGTTACAAAGGCCAATGGCCTTGATAAAATTGAGGATTCTGCTGGGATCAACGATCGATAGAGAACAGATCGTTCAAATTTCTACTTATATTACAATATTTCCCTCGGGTCTCTTTTAAGTCCGAACATTCTGTTTGTATGTGTCTTATGGGAATATCGGTATCAATCCCCCGACACAGAAGGGTTTCTCCTCTCCCTGCAGGAGATATTCATGCGTCCGTGGCCTCGTGGTCAGGCTACCGGACTCCTAATCGTGAGGTTACGGGTTCGTGGGATCGAGCTGCGGGCCCGACACTGTGTCTTTGAGAAAGGCACTTTACGCGAATTTTCCTCACTTCACCCAGCCACAGGCAGCGAAAGGTCTGGCCAGTTTGTTAGTGTTTTAGCGCCAATAAGTGGCTGCTTGCACTGTATGCTTTCCAGGAAGTTGAGGTTGTTTCAGAATGCTCTCAGGTCTGATGGGAGTAAAAGTATAGATTGTGAAGCGCATAGAGCTTGCTGTTGAGCGGAGATTTGCGCTATACAAATGCTATCTATTATTATTATTATTATTATAATTATAATTATTATCATTATATTAATATTATTATTATTATTATTATTATTATTATTATTATTATTATTATTATTATTATTAAGGAAGTATGTTCGACATGTAATCGAGCAAATATAGATCTAGTTTCGTCTCTTTGGAAGAGGCCCCAACGTGTTCGTGGAGCCAGTTCGGCCATGGTACTGTAAGTTAGTTGTTTGTATGTATGTATAGTATAAGGTTTTACGGCGCTCGCAACTGCTAAGGTCATATGAGCGCGCAGGTAGTTGTTTAACTGGTTACTCCAATGTTTCTCCCACATGTTGGAGGTGTAATTTATTTTTAACTTTCACTGTATTTTTAAAGTCAGTCTGTGGGAGAGTGTTCGTCGTTGATCCCAACAGAAACGACAAGGATTCCTTCGCCTGGAGTTCCACCTGCTCGTTTCCTCAGATGCCCACATGGCTAGGTAGCCATAATATCAACACGATACTTTTTCCGGTTATAGTTAAAATGTGTATTCTTCATTGCTACCTTACTATTCTGGAGTGTATGAGTTTGTAATTTGTGAGTGAGGTGATGCATGCAAGATAGGGAATCTGACTGAATAGGAAGAGGTGTTCAAGGTGAATTTTGTACGCAGTGCAATGCCCTGTCAATGGCAGTGGCCTCCGCAGAGAAATGGAGGCTTTCTTCTAGAGGGAGTCTCCCCTGGGGTGTACTGTTGGAGGACAGGGCGGCGGCGCCCACAGTTGAGTCCGATTTAGAGCCATCTGTGAAGATTAGCTCTGCATTTTCTTATCTCATCTTACGGAGATCTGTTACTGCCTTCCTCTTGGCGCTATTGTAAGGTTTCAACGTGTCAACGAAATTCATGTGTTGCGTGGTGCCTCAATGGTAAAAGAATACATAAGCTGGCATTATTTTCAGCTCATGCATGATTGATAATAACTTTTTCACGTCTGTCATTTATGAATTGCCCTTACTCCATGCTGTTTGTATTGGCTAAGAATATATAATTGTATCGGGTTTTTAATAATGAATGATTGATGATGCACTTTGTCCTCTTCTCTTATTCGTGTTAATAGTTAAGTGTTAAGGCATGACAGTAATTTATGCTCGCGTTGAGAATTATGGTCTAAAGAATTAATTCTTTAATTCCTTATTTAATGCAAATATGTGCATTCATATATCAAAGTTGATATTTGTGTGTTTTAAGACTTCTTTCAAAGTGTGTTTGATTTTTATCTGCCAGAATATTTTATATGTTCAGTCAAGGTGGACTGGAAGAGAAACTTTGTTATCTCGTTTAAAGGCGCAACTCGTCCAGCACTCCACACTGATCCATAGAGAGCAATAAACAGTGCTTTGAATAGCCAGAGAATGAACACGTTGAATTATTGTCAATAGTTTTTGCTTTGAATATTGAGAAAAGTTGGAAAGAAAGGGCCAAGACCTCAGAGAAAAGCAAAGATAGCCCACCAATAATAATTTATTTTTAAAATACAGAGTTGGGCTTTCCTTACAAAGGCTTCCGCACCTATCTGTCCCCGCGGTTTTATACAAAACAAATTCTGAAATTACGCAAACTGAGCCCAAAATTGTGAAATTATGCGATTCCGTTAATTTTAACAAAGAATGACAAAGGAAACAAATCAGAAATTATGCAAAAAATGATTAAATTTAGCTTAATTATGCGGGGAGCATAAAACCCCGGGGACAGCTCTATCAATACATGAACGGGTGATGGGTGGGGGTGGGGGTTGGGGGGGGATGTAATTGACGACTCATCAGAGCTCTGCAGCTGTATTTGTTTGCCGTGTTTACAAAATTCAGACCCAACACCTTTTTGTGACAATCTTCCTTTGGCTTCAGGTTACTCCTTTTATTTTTTTTTTATTTTTTTGGGGGGGGGGGTAGTAAGGTTTTACGGT